CTGAGGGCATGAGCCTGGCCGAGTTCCTGTACCCCGCGCTGCAGGCCTACGACTTTCTGCACCTGCACCAGCACCACGGCTGCCGCATCCAGCTGGGCGGCCACGACCAGATGGGAAACATCATGTCCGGATACGAGCTCGTCACCAAGTACGGAGAAGCGCGGGCGGCAGGGGATGGGCAGGGTGTGGGCAGCGGGACCGGGGATGGCATTGTCACCCCGTGCTGGGCACTGGTGAGGCCGCAGCTCGAGTGCTGTGCTAGTCCTGGGTCATTCATTCAGGAGGACACTGTGGTCCTGGAGCAAGTCTGGAGAAGGGCAGCGATGGAATGGGCTGCCTAGGGAGGGGTGGAGTCGCTGTCCGTGGAGGTGTGTAAGGAAGGATGCCCCTGGCACTTAGTGCCATGCTCTAGGTGATGTTCAGTCACAAGTTGGACTCAGTGGTCTCAGAGGTCTTGCCCAGCCTCACCAATTCTGTGATTCCATGACAGAATGCTGGGCAACTTGGTGCTCACAAACTCTAAAGTAACAAAAGATTTGGCCACATACAAATCCCTGTGATTTGAGAGGAGTAATTAATTGGCCTGACCATTAATTGCACCATTTTGACCAGGTTTATATGAATTTTTAAGAAAAATAATGGGTCCTTGTATTAGTGAATCCAAGAACCAAAATCAAACCACCTGAAGCATGGGACAAAATCGAGACAAGTCTGCCAGCACACCCATCCTGATGTAATCACTCCAAATATGATTGAGACAGTTGCAGTATATAATATACAAACTACTTAAAGGACATAAATGCCTTACAAATATACAAAATAACTTAAAAACTTATGGTGCTGGTTTTTCCCCTAAAGCCCTCTTCACACAACAATGTTCTGGCATCTGTTTGCCCATCACCCCCAGCTTTATATCAAGGATAGAATCTTGCAGAATGCTTGTATTTTAGCCAGCTTTACCAGGATATGATTTATTTTAACAATCAGTGACTCTTCTTTCTCAGGATGACAGGAGCAGAGGTGTTTGGAATTACTGTACCTCTTATTACCAGTACTACTGGTGATAAACTGGGAAAGACTGCTGGAAATGCAGTTTGGCTGAACAGGGAGAAGACTTCTCCTTTTGAGCTCTATCAGTTTTTTGTCAGACAGCAAGATAACGTGGTTGAAAAGTAAGTTTTTCTCCATCTTGATTTTTGTCACTGTTCATAAAACCCGATTCTAACTGTTCACTGTAACTGCTTCATTTAATTATGTGTAACACAAGCTCCATGTACAAGTATGTGTTAATTGTAAGTGTTCATGAAATAAACAGGCATGACTGTTTCCTCAGTAGACAGGATAGTGGAACTTCCATATGCTGAAATGTGCATCAGAAAATTAGAAGGGGGATGACAGAGAAGTGAAGCAATAATGCTTTTATTTTGTTCTGCCAGTGGGTTGACTCTCTTATATGGTATATTAGTTTTAGTTCTGTAGCATCAGAGTTTTTCAGTACATTACATTACTACATTGATTTTAATTACTTGCTGTGTTCTTTTCTAAATCTGTTTTACTTTTAACATCAATAGCACTGTTAAATCTGAGCTGAAATAATTCCCTTTCATATTGGGACCTGCCTTACAACTTACTTACCTCTCTGAAAGGTTTATCCTCTGATAATTCAAATCCATGTTCTGATCCCCAGCATCTTTCAGACTGAAAAGAAGTGTATGTGGCTACTTAAACTAAAATATTTCAGCCATTCAGACTTTTTACCAGTAAAGGTACCTTTAATACACTGCATGGGACTGACAGCTCATTAAAATGGACTTTGTTGTAAAGAGTAGGCTTAGGGTGCATCTTTAAATTCTTAATTATCCTAAATAACCTTCCTGCTGAGATACTTGCCAATGCAAGTATGTTTCTGTCCCATGATGGCCACAGACTGGCAGTGGGATTTTGCATTAGCATATTGTGGATCTCCTAGGTTAAATACAAAACCTTGTTGATACACGATTCCAGTAAATCCTATAAAAGTTTCAAGAGAAAACAAAATTGTTGACTGGAGTACAAGCTTCATAAAAGCATCTGACACTATTTTATGTCTGAAGAGTTGACCTTAGGCAGAATATTAAGTAAAATGTGAGTTTTAAAGATTTGATTGAAAGCACAGAGCATCTTAATATGTATTTCTTAAATTGACTGAGAATTATTTTCATGCAGTTACTGAAGTTTGAATGACAAAGGCAGGAAATCTGTAATGATGGCTATATAGACAAAGTACTTTTTTCCCTGCTCACAGATACCTGAAACTGTTCACCTTCCTTCCTCTTGAGGAGATTGCCCACATCATGGAAATGCATGCTAAAGAACCTGAGAAATGGGGCCCTCAGAAACGACTGGCTGCTGAAGTAACTAAGCTTGTCCATGGTAGAGAGGGGCTGGAATCTGCTAAGAGGTAAAGTTTGATTTATCAAGCAGTTTTGTTTCAAATTTCTGTGGGAATTCTCCATAGCTTTTCAGGGACTATTTTAATCTATTAAGTTGCTGCTTAGATGTTGAAAGAGAAAAACTGTAGACTTAAAAATACACTGAAAATATTTTAAAAAATTGCAGGGCAGTAGGGTACAATTAAAAAGTGGGGGTGTATTTAAAGTATTTCTGTTAGTTTGTGGACTCCCAAAAGAAACTGGGGAGGGGAATCTGATGAGTAGCACTTTGTGTGAAGAGAAGACTAGCTCTGTATTTTGAATGCTCTTTGTTCTCACAGGTGCACTAAGGCCCTTTACCACAGCAGTGTGGAGGCACTGGAAGAAATGTCTGACCAAGAGCTACAGGAACTTTTCAGACAAGCTACTTCTGCTGAACTGCTGCTTGAAGCTGGCATGACTGTTCTTGACTTGTGTCGCAAAGCAAATGCCATTCCAGATGGACCTAGTGGGTGAGTTCTCACCTGTGCTTGTGGGTTAATTCTTAAAACAGTATTTATCCTTCTCAGAAAATGTAGTAGAGGCTAAGGTTCATTTCAGTCACTGTTGACCTGGACTGGAAGTGAAGTGCAGAAGAATTAAAATGTATTCAATTACACATCCAACAACAACAAAAAAAAACCCACAAAAAACAAAACAAAACAAAAAACCAAAACAAACAGAAAAAAACCCAAATGAACTTCCATTTCTTAATAAATACCTTTCTCTTGCAAGTAACAGTTGTTTCTGTTTTGTTTTTAAGGTACCGGAAAATTACAGACGGAGGAGTTTCAATAAATGGGAATCGTGTAACTAATCCTGAGACTGTTCTTATTCTGGGACAGCATATTCTGAAGAATGGAGTATCATTACTTAGGGTTGGAAAGAAAAATTACTACATTATAAAATGGTTGCAGTTGTGACAACAGAGTATCTCCCTAAAAGGACAGGTCTGACTCTGCTGCTTGAAGAGGTACTTGAAGATATTTCTGTACTGTGCATTACTACACAGCTCACAGACTGCCCAACACTTTTTTCAAAATGCACCAGAGTTCAAATAAAGGAGCTGAGTTATACCACTGAAGAGATTGTGGATACTCTGCCTTATTCAAAGCACCATCCATAAGGATCTGCATAAGAAGAAAAGATTCATTTCAAAGTCCAGCGATGGAGATGTGCTTTCCCTCCTGTAACAGCCCTCTGTGTTGTAGAGGAACAGTGGCCAGTTATTCCACAGGATAACCCACAGGAAAATGAGCCAAAGCAAACTCAAACCCACTCCTTCTTACAGCCAGTGAAAGAATCCTTGCTGGGGGCAAAGACAGCCAACCTGTGGTCATGTTTCCCTGAACAGGTTTGCTTTGAAGGAAGCTGCAGAAAAGTCATAATAAAGATTCCTAATAAATGATTAGGCACCAGTGAAAGTTGCTTCTTGGCTGTATATGGGGACACATTGCACCGAAGTTTTCCAGCCTTCCTGTGGGAATACACAGCAAATTCACTTTTGAAATCTGAAAGTACAGAGCCTTTCAAAGCTGAAATCAACCTAATGAATCCTTTAGGCTTTCTCTGTGCATAGTATGACTCACAAGGGGAGTAGCAGTTGTTCCACTTCTTTGGTCCTATGAATGACATCCATGCTATCCAGCATTCCTTGATGAAGGAATATCCTGGCCCTAGTTCTGTAGGCTCTGCAGTCAGGAAGACAGCACATTATACCAGAAGATTTGGGGCATGCATATGAAGGGGTTTTTTTAGTATTAGCTGCCCAGGAGTTGTGGTGAACAGCACCACAAGGAACCAGGACCAGGAAACACATGAGGGAAGCTGAAGTGCATTGCAGTGTTGCTTTCAAGGATTAGGCCTCACTGAGGCCATGGAGAGTAATTTCCTGGTCCATGAAATCTTCAATGGAAATTTGCAGTGACAGCAGCCACAAGGGGGAAAGCCTTAATCTTAGCTTCTGGAATGTGGTTATATATATTCTAGAGTTGGGTAGGGAGTTTGTTATTGTTTAGGTATCTTTTTTATGTTTCTTTTCACTTGATAAATTCCATGCCGATTTCATTTGCACCATGACTTAAGATTTCAGCAGTAATAAAATAGAGTGGCTTGCTTGTTATAGATGACAGTTTCTTCTGGCAATGGAACTGAAATAATGGCACTTTCAAAAGCTCAGCATGTTCCTAGTGTTAATTTCAGTTTCCAGTCCTACTTACCTGTCTCATAATGAAACATCTCTAGCCTAATCTCCATTCCATAACAAAGAAAAGTAATTAAGTCATTTCTACCTCAAAGAAAGCACATAGAAGAAAAGGGAGAAAGGAAGGGGAAAGGGAAATTTCAGCCACCTTATTCCTTAAATGACAGAAGCGTGCACCTGGGACCAAAATACTCCAATACACACCCATTTGAGAGTTTCTTTGTGGTTACAGGAAAAACTGGGAATGAATAGTGTTTCATGTCTGACCTCTTTCCTGCCTGTTTTCTGTCACTGCCAAATGGTGCAGATACATATATGTCCACCTCTAATAAATCAGTAAATTTATTTTTTAGCAACATGAAACAAAAAAGGAATAAAGTTCTTTGCATGCAGGGTTTCTAATAAGATTTATAAACCCCAAGAAATTTAGTCCGTGCTTGCCTTTGACCAAGTCCTAGCACTCCAAACCTTTCCCTCACTCTTCCCAGAGAAACAGCTGGATACCAGCACTACTTGCCATGACCATACAGGGCCATCACAACTGAGCATTTGAACACTTGGGTCAAGGATCAAGGAAAAATCAACTATTCTTTCTTAGCCTGGTCTTAATTCTTATACACAGATACATTCAGGTAATCAGAAATTGTCCAAACTTGTTTAAATGTGAACAAGGAGTAATTAATATTAAAGTATTTAACATGGCTACACATGCAAGATTTAAAAGTGCAAAAAGAAAAGTAATTATTTTGGCAAGATATTTTTAAAAACCTAAAACCAACAAACTAAAAAAGTTGCACCAAAAACATTTGTATAGCACAACCTGGAAGACTTGAGTTTAACCTTACTGTAGCACCTAACAGTTCAGAGGTAAAGGGTGAAGGGCATGCAATAGGTAAACTCAAAACTATGGGAGCATGAAAGCACCTTCACTAGTTTAAAGAATGTCATTGAGCACAAAACCATATCCAAGTGGTATTAAACTTTGAGGAATCAATCCTCTGCCTCTCACCTCAAAGCAGTGTTTAATTAGCAACAAAAAGCAGATACAGTGGAGATCCTCAGTGACTACAGGAAACGCCAGCTACCCATTGCTCTCACAGCTGAAGGAGAGAACTGCAGAAAAAAAATTACCCATGATAATTCCATTTAAGTTCCCAATAGGGGCACAACCAAGTGGCAAGTTGTTCCTTTTCCCTGCCTGGTCCATAAAGCAGGGATCTGAGTTTGCCATATCCAATCTGGCATCAGTCATTCATCCAAAAAGCAATGAACAAAAGCAGGTTTTACACAAGGTCTGCTCTGTTTACTTCAGAGTAAGATCTGAAGCACACAGACACCACCACCCCTTCTACCCATCTGTTTCACTAAGTAAAATTTGAACCTGACTACTGAATACAAACTGCTCACACCAGGAGGATACTGTGTTTTAGTTACAGCAGGACTTCAACAGCTCAGGTATCGGTGTCAGACATTTACTAACCTGAGCTTGGCTACAGGGAGTTTTCCCCTCCATGATTCTCCCCCACTGGAGAGCAAGCTAGCTAAAACTAGTGCATTGGTGACAACATTTTTTCAGGTTTAAATTAAATGAGGTGATTAGAAGACAGTTGTAAACCACCAGTCTAATCTGGGAATTTTTCAGTTGCTGCCCTCATTAGGCTTCTTTCCACAGCTTTCCCACACTTTCTTTCAGAGCCAGTAATAGTGGCATTTGAAGTGTTTTACTTCAGTTCCAGAACACAGCTTGTTTCAAACCTATCAGTAGGCATGAGCAGCCTGTCTGCATTATGGGTTATGGAACTATTCAAGAATGCAGAACTGAGTGAAAACAAGTGAAATCATAACTAAGGTTGTAGACATATAGGTACTTACACTACTAACTGTAAGTGCATGTAAGTCCTGCCACCAGAACTACAAGTCAGTTCAAAACTATTTCTGGAGTAATTAATTTTGTGTATTATCTGTTTATTAAATAACAGCATTGTTACAGCATGGACCTTCAAAGTCTTGCATTAAGGATTACAAATCAAGTTCATTTCTTGGCACTCAAACATTACCAAATTGAACCTTTTTGTGAAACTTAAACAAAAAAAGTCGTAACATTTCAGAAACCAAATTGACACTGGAAATTCCACATGACATTACAGAGCCAGGTATCACTTGCAAGAATTTCTTCAATAAATGAAATTCATTTGCTTTATGCAGCATTTCAAAACTTTACAAATCAGAGTATTTCTTCACAAAGAGACTGTTGACTGAACTTGGGAGTTAAAGCTTAGGTAGCAGATCACTTATGGACGGCACTACCTTGTTGAAAACTTCTTGGATGTTGAAAGAAAAGGGAGAGGGTGTCAGGTGAATACCAAACAGAAATGTAATGCTTTTGACCAAACTTAAAAAGCTTTCACTGATCACCAAATTGATTTAAAAAGTGGTTTGCACTTCAGTCATATTTCTTCAATCTGAGAACTATCATCCCTGGATACAATGCAAGATAAAAGTACCTCCTTTGTATTCATTACATGTAATGCATACACCATGACTTCTTAGGCTGTTTAAAAATGCACCATATGTATTTCTGTGTTCTGCATGAATTACCTCAGATCATACACGAAGGATCCAAAAGTTGCATCTGTCAGACTTAACTCCTTGTGCTCATATTGATGCCAAACTGAATATTACCACGAGAAAAATACATTTTTAAACAGAGCTTCTTGTAAACTGAGTTTTTAAATTTTCAATCTTTAGCAGCTTACCATAGGAATTCCTTTTTTGCTAACTGATTTCAGGGGGAAGGAACTGCATATGGGTAATGAAAACCTCACTATCATGGCCCAATACCATAAAATCAAGCCATGGAGGTTAACAGCAGTGTCCTATTTTTCATGCAAGTTGTGCTAAAGAAAAAGTATTAGCAACACTATAGTAAACATTTTCACTTTATACAAAAAGAGTGAATCTGCTTGAAAAGTACATGCAAGTATGCTGGCTGGAGTTTAAATAAATTTTTATTCATAAAAATTAAAATGTTTACTTTTTCAAGGCTAGTGTGATCAATAGTCATCTGTATGAATTATAATCAAAACAAAAAAAGAAATCTCATCAACTTAATTTCCAACCTAAAATTTAATAATTTTACGATTGTCCTCAAAAAAAAAAAAAAGCTACTTACAGCACAATAAAATTTCCTCAAAAGCAACTGTAATCTCTGATATAAATATTCCAATTCCACAGACTTTCTTTCATACTGTCATACATTCCAAAATTTGCAGAATTTGTGGGCATCCCCTTCTCCCTGGCCAACTTGATCTGTTTTTAAAAGAAACGCTTACTATCCCATGACAGTTTTGAAATCCAGTTTTATTTTTCAGTTCTGCCAGAGCAAATTTACTATCAGGTGGTCCAGGGGCTTGGTCCCAGGGGGGAGGAAGGGGAAGGTGTCCTTGTGCCTGATTATAAACTCCAACATTCATACACAAGCTCCAGTGCACGTTAATAACTCTGCAGCCACTTTTTAGTAGGCTGTTCTTGTTCACAAGCTCCAGGCTAATTCTTCCTACATGATACTCCATGAAATCAAGTCTGAAGTTTTGTCTGCCATTGAAACATTTGGGGACAAAGAGAAAAAAGAAAAAGGGAACACACATACATAGTAATACGCTCGACATCTCTACTGTGCTATAAAATGGAGACCTCCATCTGCCACAGTGCATGCAATATATTCATGAAAGAAAATACTCGGTGCTCTCTTGTCTTCACAGTATTGAAACTTCTACTGGAAAAGCAGCTTAGAACTATGCCACAAGACTACACTGGCTGTCTTAACCACAGGCAACCTGTTCAGCAAGTCAGGCACTGGAACTTGAATGTTTTTCCCCAAGTTCAAATGAGACTGTCACTGAGACAGAAGACTTGGTCTGCTTTAATTTGCACCAGAAACCTGGTAAGGAAACATTTAGAGCCATTTATTATATGGATTAAATACGACTTCTTTTGCAAAATACAGCATGTTTTTCTGTTTGCAAATCAAACCAACTGTCTTTACATGAGCAGATTTACACAGTTGCAGTACACAGATAAGAGTTCATAAATAAAAATTCTACTCCGTATACCATGCCTACAATTGTCAAGCCAATGTAACCTCCAATGCATATAAATAGTGTGGCTGATACAGTCTTCACCAAAGATGTGTCTCTCGGATCTCTGCAATGATCTGGCTGG